GAGGGGTCAGGATGTTGTAAGATTGGTGCCCTCTGGAAACAGGCCTTCAACCCCTGAAACGCCTCCTCTGCCTCCTTGTCCCAGGAAAACGGCGTCTTTGGGCGCAGTAGCCGGGTCAACGGGGTGGTGCGATGAGCATAATCAGCGATGAAGGTCCGGTAGTAATTGGCGAACCCCAGGAAACGTTGTAGGTCCTTGCGGTTCCGGGGTGCCGCCCATTCTTGAACCGCTGTCACCTTCCCCGGGTCCATTTGCACCCCATCCGGAGAGAGCCGGTGACCAAGGAAGTCCACAGTCCGCTGATGGAACTCGCACTTGCTGAGCTTTGCGTACAAACGGTGCTCACGCAAGCGCTGCAGCACGGTCCGGACATGTCCCTCATGGCGAGCCGGGTCACGGGAGTAAATCAGTATGTCATCCAAATACACCACCACGTACTTGTCTAACAAGTCCTGAAACACGTGGTTGATGTAGCGTTGGAACACAGCAGGCGCGTTGCACAACCCGAAAGGCATAACCAAATATTCGAACTGCCCGTACCGGGTCCCAAACGCTGTCTTCCACTCATCCCCGGCTCGGATCCGAATCAAGTTGTAGGCCCCCCGGAGGTCCAGCTTGGTGAACACCTGTGCCCCTTGCACCCGCTCCAGCAGCTCCGAGATAAGGGGCAAGGGGTATCGGTCTGGGACGGTAATTTTGTTCAAGGCTCGGTAATCATGGCAAGGGCGGAGTTCCCCACATTTCTTCTTAACGAAAAGCACTGGTGCCGCGGTAGGCGAGGTGGACGGCCTAATGAACCCACGCTCCAGGTTCTTACGCAAGAAGTCCTGCAAAGCCTCGCGCTCTGGCTCTGTTAGAGAATATAAGCGACTCACTGGTAGAGGCGCTCCGGGTTGGAGGTCTATGCCGCAGTCAAAGGCCGATGCGGCGGCAGCTGGTCTGCCCCCCCGTTCCTCGAACACGTCCTGGTAGTCCTGATACACGGCTGGGAGCGTGGGTGCTGCCTCCTCTGAGGGCGCGGCCGCCAGCGTCCCGGATTGAGCATGGGAACATGGGTCTGGGAAGTGCACGGTCCGTTTGACCCAGTGAATCTGAACGTTGTGGGCTTCCAGCCAGTCCATCCCGAGCACCAGGGGGAAGCGGGGCATAGAGGCAATGTCCAAAGTTCGCAACTCCCGGTGCTGCTGGAAACACAGGACCAGGGGCTGGGTCTCCTGAGTAACGGCACCTGAACACAGTAGTCGTCCGTCAATCGCTTCCACCTGGACCGGTACTGGCTTGTTCCGAAGTGGCACCTGATGATGGGCGGCAAAAGCAGCGTCCATATAAGAGCGGGTTGCCCCTGAATCCACCAAAGCATGGGTGGGGATCCAGGGCCCACCTGGAGGGTATAAACGTACCGGAACCATAAGATGTTGCGAGTCATTTGATGCAGGCCCATTCTGCGCGGTTTGGGAGACCCGGCAGCTAGGGCCATCAGCTACTGGGGTTGGCGGTTTCCTGCGGCTGGCGTTTCTCAGGGCAAGACCGAGCGAAGTGTCCACTTCCGCCACAGTAAAGACAGAGATTTCCTCCCGACGCCGCGCCTTCTCTGCGGGGGAAAGGCGTGGCCGCACTGCCCCGAGCTGCATAGGCTCCTCCGTTAAATCAGTTGTGACCGTGGGGCTGCCGGAAAAGCTGGTGCCGTGAACTGGAAGTGTCGGCGACCCCGGGCCTGACGACGATCCTCCAACCGGTCGTCTATTTGTAGACTCCGTTGAATGAGAGTGTCCAGCGTGGTGGGGCGTTCCATTGTGGCCAACTGGTCCAGTACCTCGTCCGAAAGCCCTTCGAGATACTGGTCCCGCAGTGCCGAATCATTCCAGGTCAAGTCCTGCACCAACAGCCGAAACTCCGTGGTATATGCGGCCACCGTGGACTTGCCCTGTTTCAAACGCCGAATCGCCCGGTTGGCTTGACTCCCTTTCTGGGGGTTGCCGAACGCGGCCTCCAAACGATTGCAAAACCCCGTATAGTCTGCCAGCAAGGGGGAGTCTTGCCTGAGTAGCGGCAACGCCCACTTGGCCGCCTGGTCCTTTAACAAACTAATCAAAAAGTGCACCTTGGTGCGATCGTCAGGAAAGTTCCGGGCTCGCCCCTGAATATACAGCTTGGCCTGGGCCAGGAACATGGGAAAGCTGGCCGGGGCTCCATCAAATTTCTCAGGCAAAGCCACTGGGTACTTGCCAGGAGCCGGGGCCGGCCCCAGGAGCCGGTAGGGCTTCCAAGCGTTGTTGAAGTGCCACAACCGCGTCACTGAGCTGCTGCACGGTGTGAGTCAAGGCCTGGTTCTTCTGGGCCAAAGCCACCAGTGCAGCCGCCTGGTCAGCCATGGCCTCTGGCTCTTCCCGAACGCACCCCTACGAAGGGGGAGTGCGGGTGTGGCGGGAGCAAACTGTGCTGGTCCCGGGGTAAGGTACCTTGGGTGTAGCAGAGTCCACACGAAGAGGGGCAAGGTCCGAGGCAGAGAGCCGGGCGGGGAACAGGAATGCTGGAACAGGAGGCTGTGCAGGGAACAGGAACACCGGATGGTCGGGAACAGGAGGCCGAGCAGGGAACAGGAGTACCGGATAGTCAGGAACAGGAAGCCGAGCAGGGATCAGGAACACAGGAAGGTCCGAGCCAACAACGACGTTGCTCCCGCAACCTGGGGCCGGGCTGACTGGGCTTTTATCCTCTTCTAAGGCCAGGGCGGTCCCGGTCCCCAGGAGCCCCGCCTCCTCTGGCCTTAAGGCGAGCACTCCTCCTGGGGGCAACCAGTTCCCTTCGCCTCTCTGCCCTAAGCCTCTGCAGATCAGGAGAGGCCGAAGGGTTACTGGGCCCTGGAGGAGGCTCACCTGTGGCCACTGAGTCATCAAGCCCCTCTGGGGCCCGAAGGGCTTCACCTGGGGCCAGCTCCTGATGCACTGCCACAGGTGCAGGCTCTTCAGCATCAAGGCCTTGCCCCAGTTCAGCCGGCCCTGGAGGCGGGGACTCCTGTGCAGGCCGGGATTCCTCTGTTTCATCCTCCGAATCGGAATCCCAGGCCATCACACTGAGGGAGATGAGTGACTTTAGATCATTAACACCGCAAGCCTCCTTGATGATTGCCATACTGTTTGCAAGTGACTTAATCAGGATGGGTTGTCTGACTGCCCCATTTTAATTTTATTGCCCTGATTAAGTTTCCTTAGCTGTTATGTGTTGCTTTTCCAATTCAATTAAACCAGAATCCCCTTCCATTACTCGATAATACTGGAGCGCCTTGGTGAGTTCAGACAGCACTTGGTATTTTCACTTGATACCAACTCCCTGATCACAAACCCTGGCTGCATGGAATGAAATCCGTGGGAGCCTAAATTAAAATTGCAGAGCTCCAGGGCTGCAAAATACTCCGTTGGTCTTTTGTCTTCCGGCTGCAAATGTATTGGTATTTGGCACACTAATCAAGCTTGCTAAATCATCTTCTGCAATAATGCCCCCAACATTTGTGAGTTTGTTGCTGTCTCCTTTCTTCTGAGTCACTTTTCTGGCGTGGGAGGAAAGCCATCAGTGAAATCCTATGAAAGAGGAGAATGCAATATTATTTATTATTTATTATGTATTAAACTAGTTAGCCCCCCCCTTTTTTCTACAAAAGTAACTTCCAGCACCTGCCTTTACTGCACTCTTTTTGGCAATGGCTTAAAACATTTTTGCTTATGCAAAGCCTATCCAGACACATAGATGTTTATGTGTTTTAATTTACTGTTAATTCAAATTCTAATTATTTTTAATTTTTTATTGTTTTTAACTGTTCTTTACTGATAACTTTTAATATTTTTTATAAATAACTGAGCAGTTTCACTACAAATAAGTGGTATATGAATTTTGTTAAAGAAATTAAATTAATGCTTTTTAAGGATAAAACTGGAGTATTGTGTGGAGCACCTTTGCTAACCCAGTTCCAGCTCCCTCTGCACATATAACAAATCCCACAAAGGCTTTAACAGAGAACTTTGCATGTCAATCCCACCTACCAGCACCTGACCAAAGCCCCCTCCGTTTACACCCACCTCCTCGCCATTCCCCCCAAGGCTCACCCCGAACCCTTCCCACCCCTTTTGAAGGAGGAGATACTTCACAGAAGGCACTTAATACCTTTCCCAAGCATGCCTGCTGTTCCTCAAGCTGAAGTTGGCTGTGATGACATCTTACATTTTTATGCTTATAGGAAGATAACAATTCTGCTCTAACAATGTTTTCCCATAGCAACCAACACCCTCACAGAAGAGCTATTTAAACAACTGTCCCTGGTAGAAGCTCCTTGTAACTGAACCAACAGTTTGGATTTGATTTGATATCCTGCCTTTCACTCCCTTTAAGGAGTCTCAAAGCGGCTAACAATCTCCTTTCCCTTCCTGCCCCACAACAAACACTCTGTGAGGTGAGTGAGGCTGAGAGACTTCAGAGAAGTGTGACTGGCCCAAGGTCACCCAGCAGCTGCATGTGGAGGAGCGGAGACGCGAACCCGGTTCCCCAGATTACGAGACTACCGCTCTTAACCACAACACCACACGGGCTCTCAACAGTGAAGCATTGTTGTTATTTATTACTACTACTACTATTACTATTATTACTATTACTATTATTTCAGTGACTGACTTTTCTACCAAAGGATTCTGGCTATGTCACAGGAACAGCGATGCAAATGCTTTCCATAGCATATCAGTCGCATTTTACAGAAGACTGTAATTTTCCAAATGTCAGAGTTCTTCTCCTAGAGGAGCAAGCATTCCAACAGGCAAAATAGATTTGCCTCCTTAATATACAACTGTGCTGGCTTTCCACCTCCCTGCCTCTCCCAGTCACACACACATATATCCCAAATGAAATATTTTGTGTGCTATATTATTAATCAAGGAGGCATGAAGATTCTTAGGAGGGCAACTAGATTCTCGAAAATGAAAAGCGGCCACACTCCTCATTCTGTAAGCTGTTTACTGTGGGGTGGCAGATTTCACAGGCTTTTGCAGGGCACGTTCCATCAAAGTATCTGATTGCAGCCTGAAACCAATTCTTGCAGTTGCTTTGAGATAGCATCAGCGTGGTCTGTAAAATATTTCTGTTTGGGTCACAAGGCTGTCCTGCATTCTGAAGTTACTCCAGCAACTCTCGTCTAGTACTGTTGGGTGGTTGTAGGATGAGAAGGCTCAGTCCACCTGGGAGGGGTTTAATACAGCAGCTGCTGATGGTGGTGTGGCATGGGGTGTTTTCTGCAGAAAGCTTTCTACCACTGTATTCTTCTCTGGTGAGAATTTTTCCTTTAAAAAAAAAAAAAAGTATTTTGTTTAATAAAATGAATTCAGAGTCGTGGGAAGAGGCAGGCCAGGCGAGTGAAGGGCTGGGTGATTTCCCACCCTCTCTTGCACCACTGTCTCCCAGAACCAGGAGGGGAGTGAAGAGGTAAGAGCAGAGGCAGCTTTCCCATAGGTGCAGTCTCTGGCTGCATGCGCACATCCATCCAGAGGGAGGTACATAAACTGGGGGGGGGGGAGTGGTCCCCTGTTGCTGCAACTGCTCCATAGAGTGCAGACCTGGGAACAGCTGTCCAGATGCTAAATGGGTGTGCATTGGTATTCGGAGCTGTAGAAACTACTGTTAATTGTCCTCTTTTGACAAGAAAGAGTTGGCTATTAGTGGTGTGTGTTCCTTTGGGTGGGGAGCATCCTTGACACTATGTCCTTTTAAATGTGGGAGTAGGGAATCATCGTTTAATTTTGTTTTTGATATTGTTATGTGCTTTGTGTTTCTGTTCTGTATTTTTTTGTTGTGACCTGCCTTGAGATCTTCAGGTGAAGGGCTGTATGTTAAACAAACAAACAAACAAATAAATAAATAATATTAAACGCTGTTCCATCCAACTTGGTTTTGACCACATTGAGTGGCAGCGGTTTTCCAGGCCAGGGTCTTTTCCCAGCCATACCTAGAGATACCAGGAATTGAACCTGGGTCTTCTTGTTTTTTGCATGCAAAGCACATTTTCTACCCCTGAGCTACAAATACTCCCGAGGAAGATGCCTTAAACCAGGTCCAGCCAGTGATCCAGCTATATCTGCATTGTCTCCACACTGACTGGTGGTGGTTCTCTGGATTGTCTTCCAGCTCTACCTAAAGGTGTCAGGAATTGAACCTGGGATCTTCTCTGTGCAAAACAGGTGCTTTATCAGTGATGTGCAAACTAATAACTAACTAAGGCCCTTCCTCATAACGTAACTAATTGGATACAATACTTGTCAAACTGGTCAGTTTCAAATTTGTAGTTAACCTTTATGTACAAGCTCACAGCTTTTCGGGTGTGCTGAAACTGAAACGTGGTGTTCCCTCCATCCCTTTTAATAATTGAAAACAATGTAAGTGTATACTGTTGCATTGTCCTGTCTTTTTCAGTAAAAATCATTTCCAGCTTGGAATTTGCTTGAATATAACATTTGCACCACATCAAGCATGCTTTATCTATTCCCTTCTTTGTAATCAAATGCTCCCCTTCTGCTGCCTTTGATTATTGGAAGACATTTTCAGAGATAAGGCACATTAGAAAACATTGTCTAATTGTTTTTTAAAACTCAAATGTTTTCTGGAAAATTCACCTTGCTCGCTCTGTGTCAAAAACTGTTTTTGAAAATGTCCACCACTTCCAGAGAGGGTTGCTATGCAGTGTGAAAAGAGCATGGAATAAACTCCCAAGGCCCAAAATCTTCCTGGCGGCATAAAATGGCTTTGGAGCACAGGCATAACCTTTGAGATGAACCCGGTAGCACATCTAGTCCTTTAGCAGAAAGCACCTTTCCCATTCCGTGCTTTTTAACAGGACAGCAGCAGGGCTGAGGTTCAGGTTGTAACACAATACCTTAATTCACTGGATGCTAAGAGCAGCAAATGCTAATGACTCCTCAAAGGTACTTGGCATTTATGTTCACTAAAAACATTCACTCTCTCCTTAATGGGCCATGACTTCAAACTGGGACTTTTACAAGTCTCCTGTGCTACTCAGGATCGAGATGGGAGCCCACCTGATTATGCCTGCAAGGAAGTGCTGCTGCTTTCCCCTTGAGTCCATATGCTTGACCTTGAAAACAGGAATCAATGAGTGTGCAAAGAAATGCATTGTGTCACTGTGCATTTCCACTGGGTATAGTAAGATACAGAGTTGTGCCGTCATGTATTAATTATGAAAGGCAGAAAATGAGCTGTGGCAAGAGGTTGCTTTTTTTCTGTTTGCTGCAAATAACTATTCTGCAGAGTTATGCAGCCACTTCCCCCAATTTAATTTTGATATATGTGCCAGATTGGAAGCACAGCTTTAGTGAGTCGTAGGTTGTCTTTAAATATTACTAGCCTCCTTGAATCCCAGCTTGGGAGAAAGACAGGATATAAATGCATTAAACAAACAGACAAGAGAACTTAAACCAGAAAGACCAAGAGACAGAGGAAGCCTGTTGATTTGCTTTCTTACACTTGTAAATCAGGTGTGGAGAACCTTTAGCCCTCTGGAAATTCCTGGACTCCCATTTCCCATCATCCCTGGCCACTGGCCATGCTTGCAAAGGTTTGTGGGAGTTGTAGTTCAGCTGCATCTGGAGGGTGGCCAAAGGTTTGCCACTCCTGCACTAAATAAACACACAGAGAGCTGTAAATGCAACACATCACAACAAATCCTGACATTCCCTTCAGCAAAGAGTTAGCATGCTCGTCTCACGGCGCACAGCAGATGTTCCTCATGTACCAAAAAATAAAAATAAAAAAATCCACCTCAACAGCTCAAGGGCCCCCAGTGTTCATTTGCTCCTTAAAGATAGTATCCTGGTCCTCAAATTAAACCTTTCATTTCCTTTGTTGTTCTATCTTGTCTGCTTGGCTCGTAACACCGGCATCCGTTAACTTGGAAAAATCCATCTGTATACTTTCCTTAAAAGCCATTTCTACACCAGAGATTCCCATGCCTTTGCTAAGGGGGCCTTTGGCTGGGAGAGAAGCAATTTCTACTGGAGAGTCTCTGCTCCTTTTCATAGAATCATAGAATCATAGAGTTGGAAGAGACCACAAGGGCCATCGAGTCCAACCCCCTGCCAAGCAGGAAACACCATCAGAGCACTCCTGACATATGGTTGTCAAGCCTCTGCTTAAAGACCTCCAAAATGATTGGTGCTTTTCTCTGGACCCACTGGTGCCTCCCCCACCCCACCCCTGCCCCACAGCCTCCATCCTTCTCTCTTTATCTAACCCAGGGATTGTCAACCTCGTCCCTGCCGCCCACTAGTGGGCGGTAGGGGGGTTCTATGGCACAAGCTGAATCCTCCTTCCATCGAGCACTGGGGGGCGGTAAGGAAATTTTACCATGAAGAAAGATGCATTAGTGGGCGGTAGGTATAAAAAGGTTGACTACCCCTGATCTAACCCCTGAATCAACTTTCTGCCATCGCAGACAACCCCCAGGCTGTAGAGTGAAAAGGTTAAAAGAATTTGAGAGCTATGATGAGATGCACGCTGAATGCATTGATCCTGCCAAAGGATTTGTTTCCCTTTCTGTGTTAACCGCTTATTGATTGTCACAATGACCTTTGTCTTTGTGATTTTTTGTTGGCCTCTTTCCTACCACAGAGTCTTGGTTGGGTCTTCTTTGCGCAGACCCGGCTCTCCTACCCAAACACAGAGAGAAGGCAGCAGCTCAGGGGTAAAGCACCTGCTTCGCATGCAGAATTTCACAAGTTCAATCTCTGGCATCTCTGGGTAGGCTGGAAAGACGGCTTGAAACCCCAGGGAGCCACTGCCAGTCCGTGTAGGCAATGCTAACATCAGTGGGCAGCTTCCTGTACTACACCAAGTGAGACCACTGGTCCATCTCTCCCTTTATTGTCTACACCAGGGATAGGGAGCCTGTGGCCCACCAGATGTTGGACTGCAGCTCCCATAATCCTCAGCCACAGGTCCCCATACCTGGTCTACACTGACTGGCAGCAGCTCCCAAGGGTTTCGGACAGGAGTTTTTCCCCAGCTGTCTTTGGAGACACCAGGAGTTGAATCTGGGGCTCCTACACATAACACTTGTGCTCTGTCACTGTGCTATGTCCTTTCTTCCGTGCTCACGGGGAAAAGAAAATGGCGGCTGCATCCGTGCGATGAGGAGCTCTGACCACACAATAGAATTGTTGCTGTGAGAGCCAGCAGCTGGAGCACTTGGAGTTTTGAATGCAGGAAAGACTGTTTGTGGCCTGTGGGGTGTTTTCTTCCCCTCACAGTAATGCCTGGGAAGGCGGTGAGGGAAAACTGAAAGAGGGACACTGGCGAAGCCACCCAGCAGACCTCAAGGCTGAGCTGGGTGTTACCAACATGGCTACACAGGGAACACCTGGAAAAAGAAATGTATGAAACAGGACGTTGAAGTGTTCTGTGTTGTTTTCACAAGATGGTGCCGGGAATACATGGGGAGGAGACATGGCGAGGCCGTCGCTTGTGCGCCTCTTGAGGTGCTGATGGGAGTTGTTGTCCAAAACATCAGGAGGACGCCATGTTGGCTGAGCCTGGCCTAATCCAACTGCTGTGAGGATAAATTGAGAGAGTCCCATGTGGGCTGCCCTTAGCTCTTTGGAGGGAAGTTCAAATAAGTGAATTTCTTTGACTCATACCCAGTAGGAGGTTAAAATACGTAGGGGTTTGCCTCATACGCTTTCGAACCTCACGTGCTGGCTTTCTGCCTTGGTTAGCTAGCTGTCTGCCAGCCGCTTCTCAGGAATGTAACTTGCCCCTTTTCTATGCATGTTCTCCTGTATTTCTGAAATACCTTCCACAGCTGCCTCTCCTTCTGATCCGCTTCTTCTGTTAAAGCTCATCCAAGCTCGGTTTTCTGTGGAACAGTGACATCTTGAGGTGTGTCCAAGCATTGGAGAAATGGGTGGGAAAGGCTAGAAATATTAAACGTGATTATTTGCCATTTTACTATGGTGGTCTCTAGGGCTTGCTCAGCTGTGATATCAGAGCTCACAGAATTATGCGCCTTCCATTAGGAGACCCTGGGTTTATTGCTTGTGCTGAATTAACAATTGGTCAAGGATGGGAAAATCTCTGGTTCTCCAAATGCTTCTGAACTGCAGCTCCCATCATCCCATGCCATTGGCCACGCTGCCTAGGGCTGATGGGAGCTGGAGTTCAACCATGCCTGGCAGGTCAAAGGTTAGTAGAGTGTGGGCACAGTGGAGTTGTGCCAAAGCCTTCGTGGAAGGCTTTGAGGAAGGAATTTGAGAACTAACAATGTGCAGGTGTTTTGGAAGGCTGTTGTCAGGAAACTGCCATCGGCTCAGGGGCAAGAGGGGCAAAGGCGGGCGGATTACAGAGAGCCCCCAAAGATCGTGGGAAGCAGCACTTCCTCAGCGGAGGAAGGAAGCCACGCCTCTAGTGGGGAGGAGATGCAGGGCTCGGAGGATGCAAGGCAGTGCCAGGACACCTTGCCTGAGCAAAGTGGGGAGGAGGTCCCCCGTTACCCACACCTTCCTTGCGCAGTAGGCTTCCGCGCCGAGAGGGGAGGCGCAGACTGGGGGTCAAGAAACTACTCTGCTGGGGAAGATTTGAGGACCACCCACTCTCAGATCCTGCCAGTGAATGAGCAAGACATGGAATAGAGGCGCTCTGTATTCTAAAGGTTTTTTTAGCACCAATAAGAAAGCTTTAGAACAGACTAGGGAGGCATATTGCCTGATTGCTCTCGAGCAACCACCTCTAACAGCTGTCAACAATACTATGAATGTCAGGTCAAAGCTGCTGGAGTCAGCTGCTGCTGCAGAACGTGGTGGCGGGGGGGGGGGGCAAACTACCACCAGCATATAACACCTTGCCTCTGGAATTTGTGCTGCCTGTCCATTTGACCCATTGGGCCAAGTTCAAGGTGTTGGTACCAACATAAGCCCCTTGGCCTTATCTCTCGTACGTCCTGTCTGCAGGAGAACCTCTCCTGCAAGTTCTGAAGGTCTCAGAGGCTCACTCTGCAGTAACTCAGGGCAGGGCTTTGAGCGTGGCTGCACCTGTTCTGTGGAATAGCGTTCTTGAGCAGAGCTGAGGAAGCTATTAGCAGTGAATCTGAAACTCAAGGCCCTCCCTGCAAAAATCCTGCCGTGTCTCAGAAACCAGTTTTCCCACCCCAGGGTGGGTGCAGCCAGGTGCTGACCACAAGGGTCTTGCCATATTATTCCCAGCTCTGCTCTTTGCCTGCCCAGCGCTGTTCAAAGCAACAGCTGTTCCTCTCCCGTAGTTCTCCTTGACAACTGAATACATATGTTTGCAGCCTGCATAGCTGGTCCCTGGAGCAGCAATCCAGACCTACTTCGGTGCAAGTTCTGCAAGGCAAGTGATTCACCCTTCGCAAGCAGACTGGGAAGTGGGGGGTGGGGTGGGGTCAGAATCTGTGCAATTGCTGCAGGGCTGTTGATTTTTTGTTTGTTTGTTTTTTTACACAAACTTTGGACTAAACATCATGAAGATTCCACCTTCAAAACTTGATTTGTGTTTGCTGTGCTGCCTGTAGAACTGTTCTCTTCTGTTCCATTTTGTTTCTTCTTGGGGGTTTTTGTTTTTTTTAAGTGTGTCACTAAAAGATGCATATTTGATGGGGAGGGGAGCCTGTGCCGCTCCTTGAGGCTATTATTCATGGCACACACAAGTACCGTTCTCCACCACATGCGTATGGTGCAGGGATGATGGGCCTCAGGTCAGGGGTCCAGATTAGACCCTCCAGAATTCTCTTTAGGGTGTCTTTAGGGTACCACAAAACTCTCTTTTTTTGCCTTTCCCTCTTTTCAGACCTCTTCCTCTGGACCCTGTTGTCAGGAGTTGGAGTCAGGCGGGGGTCAGCAATAAAACAATAAATGTCAGGCTTCAGGGAATTCGCTTCCTGTGTCAGTGAAGTGAACTCTTTATCCAAGGGAACAAAATCGTAACTCTTCCCTGTAGGTCTTGCCCCAATGAAGGTCCCTGCCTTTCCACTGCTCTGTCAGCCTCTGCACGTTCGGGGGGAGGGGAGCTGGCCGTAGCAGGAGGAGGAGACTCACTGAATTCTTCAGCAGCCTGCCTCCTCTCTGTCTCCTGGCCCTCCTCCTCTCTTGCCTATGATTCTGCACTGCTCTCTGCTGCAGCTGCTTCCTGCTCACTAAACCCTGTTGCCTCTTCAGCTTCTGACACCTTCTCCTCCCAGCCTGGTCCCTCTTCTCGCTCTGACCGTGCATCGTCGACCCACCACCAGTCCCCTGGCTCTGATCCTTCTTCCCCTGGAGGTTCCCTTGGGGGTTTCCCAGCTGGTGCCTCCCACCACTCCTCTGCGTCCAACCAGTTCCTCCAGCACCTCGGATTTGGCAGATGGTAGACCAGGATTACCTTTTCAACAAAGGAACCAAAGAGAAAAAAAAGCTCTTGTTCTTGTAGTCGGATAAAGTGCCATACACTAATATGATTGTAAAATCTCTCTTTGCCTTCCCTCTTCAGAAACTTCTACTACATCACGATCCTCCGGGACCCGGTGTCTCGGTACTTGAGTGAATGGAGGCATGTCCAAAGAGGAGCAACCTGGAAAGCATCATTGCATGTCTGCGACGGGAGATCACCAACTTCTGAAGAGCTGCCCAGCTGTTACTCGGGGGATGACTGGTCTGGCTGCTCCTTGCAGGAGTTCATGGACTGCCCGTACAATCTCGCCAACAACCGCCAGGTCCGCATGCTGGCTGACCTCAGCCTGGTGGGATGCTACAATTTGTCCGTCATGCCAGAAGAGCAGCGGAACAAGGTTCTTCTGGACAGTGCCAAGGAGAACCTGAAGCGGATGGCTTTCTTTGGCCTGACGGAGTTTCAGAGGAAGACTCAGTACCTCTTTGAGAAGACGTTTAACATGGTCTTCATCTCCCCGTTCACGCAGTACAATAGCACACGAGCCTCCAGTGTGGACATTGACGAAGAGACCCAGAAGCACATAGAGGCTCTCAATTTTTTAGACATGGAGCTGTATGAATATGCAAAAGATCTTTTCCTGCAACGTTATCAGTATATGAGGCAGAAGGAGCACCAGGAGGCGAGGCGGAAGCGCCAGGAGCAACGGAAGATCTGGAGAGCTAAGCAGGTCCACAGCAAGGAGCAGAGCAGCACAAATGCAACAACTGACTACATCGGGAGTGTGGAGCAGTGGCGATAATAACGGGGCGAGGTGTGTTTTTAGGGAGATCCAGATTTGAAAAGCCAGGGCAGGGTTGCAAAATAGAGAGGAAGGACGAAGCAGCCAAGCAAATTTGTGCTCCTTTGAGGGCGGGGAACGGATACAAGGCTTCTGGCCTGTGGCCTTTGCCAATGCTTTGTGCATTAAATGTCGTGCCCAGTGTGGGTTAACCTCACCTCTATGTGTCTCAGATCTGTCCCTTTCTAAAAACAACAAACCATTCTGGCCTGTTTAAGCAGCAATTTTTCGGAAATGATTGCTTGGGCAAAACCAAACATAAAAACTGATTGACATGGTTAAAGCTGAAAAAGTTGGGGAACTTTTAATTTTATTTTTTTTGAGGTGGGGAAAGTATGCTTTTGATGGGCAGGGCATGAGCTGTGGGTTGCCCATCCACCCATTTTGTCTTGCAGGGCTGGGGATTCTGTGGCCTTACAGATAGTCAAGACTACAATTCCAAACATCCTTGACCCATTGGGCCGTGAAAGCTGGTGGGAGTTGGAGTGCAAAGAGAGATGAAGGGTGGCAGATGTTCCCTGATCTGTAGCCTTCCGGGGAAATCCCCAACACTGTTCTTTTCAGGCCAACTCAGCCCCTTATCTCCAGGATGAAAGCTTTTTCAGCTTGGCATTAGCCAGCAGAGTGACGGTCTGTTCCGTTTGGTAGCAGAAGTTTTAATAAGGACTGCGGTGGCCATAGTGAGCCCCACTGAATACTGTCGTTAGGGGGCCACATTTCTGCTCCACTTCATAAGATCTCATCATATGAGGTTGGACAGAAGAACATTGAGGTCCTTTCCAACTCTACAGTTCTACGATTCTTTGTTATACAAGGTCTGTGGAGCCTGCCTCCAAAGGTAGTTTGGGATGTTTGGGGCAAATAAAACACCCATTTCCCAGAGTTTGGGAGTTCAAGGCATGATAGTCACGATTGTGCTTTGCTAGGTGGCTTCCACATGGGAAACACACAACCAGAATGAAGCATCCCATTGGAATATCTCTCACCCACCCTCCGTTATTTTATTTTATTTCATGAATGTATTTTCATAGGCCAACTGCTTTTAGCACATACCAAATATGAATTCTGATTAACGGGATGTCTGAAGAAGAAAATACACTGACTTTTTAACAAACAATAGAAGGGTTTTGTCTATAATTATTTATAACTCATTTTTAAAAATCTTCCTACTGCTGTTAATGAATTTTAAGCTTGTTTCATTTCATGTTCAATTGGAGTTGAGAATATTCTCTCAATGATCTGGAGGACATTTAGACTAGCTTAATACAACAACAGAAAAATACTGTTACAGAATTACTTTGTGCAATTGAATTGGAATCCATTTTGAAGATGTGGGGATGGGGAGAGAGGCAACTCTTGTATTCCTGTCCAGTTTCAACAACTCTCCTTTCACATATTTCTCTAGCAGGGTTTGATCATTTTGTATATTGCTGCCCAGAACGTTTTCGATCGAAGCTGTATTTTTTAAAAGAATTTATTAGCAATGGGAGGGGATATGCCTGGACTGGTGGTTTGCTTTTGATCCGCTCTTTCTAGTATGATGCAGAATTTGAGCTCTCATTTTTGTAATATTTGTGAGCCCATCAAGGAGTCCTAGGTGGTCTCCCATCCAGACACCTGCTAGACCCAGACCTGCTTAGCTCCAGCCTCGGGTGCCTTCAGACTGTGACTTAGGGCCTCGTGGTCTTTCTGAGGCGCACAGAGTTGAGAAAGGGAGAGAGGGCTGAGCCACAGACTTTGAAGTAGCCATATTTCTTACATTTGGTGCCAGCTCAACACCAGAATTACTCTTCTGCCGCCACTTGAAATGCTTGCCCTGTTCTAACAAGGGAAAGTCACGTGCCGAAGACAGCCTGAGTATGGATCTTCTTTGCTGGTTTGCGAACAAGTGCTTAAAGGTATCTAAAGCAGGTAATAAGCATATGAAATTGCCTTATACTGAGTCTGATTATTCGTTCATCTAGCCCAGAGTTTTCTGCTCTGATGGATTGTGGCTTCCCACAGAATCTGGCTGGTCACTATGTGAACAGGATGCTAGACTAAAAGTGTCGTTTGTCTGATCTAGCAGGGCTTTTCTCATGTTCTCTTGGGGTCTTTCCCAGCCCTACTACTTGAGATAGGCAGTGGTTTTTAATGGTGATGGAACCTGTTACCTTTTGCTCTTCCTCTGTGTGGAGAAGGGCTGTATCTCAGTGGTGGAGCACATTCTCTACATGCCAAAGACCTTTGAACATAGGGAGGTCAAAGGGATTAATCTTTGATGCTCTGAAGAAAACTGCCCTTCATGCCGGAGACTAGGCAGTTTTCGGACATGGTGAGTGACTTGGAGCAAAGGACCTCCATCATGCCCAAACACCACAGAATAGTCCTGTGAGTTAGTCCTCAGGGCATTAGGTCAGCTAAACCTCCCCTTTTTAAATTAGTTTTGAGACTGTGATGAATTACGACTGAAGGGATCTGTGTGCCCCCTGAAACTTTCACACTGAATGCAAACCGACTGCTATCATAAGAAGAGGCAATTATTAACGATTAACAGTGGAAACGAAACAAAAAGCATGTTTTAATTGTCTGCAACGAAGGAAGATTATAAATAAATAAGGGTGCTCTGCTTGTTAAGAATTTTGATTTTACATTGTTTTTAACTCTCCATCCCTTTTGAGGAAGTGCTAGCCACAAAAGTGAAACTAAGCTCTCCAACTGTGTGTAAGAATGTACTTAGTTAAGGAGACAGACACAATTTTTAAGGCAGTCTGTTAAGGTGGAGAGTGAGTTCTTAATTAGACCAATGGCACTCAGTATGGAGAAAATACTGTTGAACACCCCATTGACTGTTGGTATCATGCAGCAATTATTGGATGAGCAATCAAAAGAGCTCAGAACTGAGATAAATAAAATGGTGAATGAAAATGTTTCAGAGAAAGGTCAGATTAAAGGAGACATGGAACTTTTGGGAAATAATACTGATAAAAATCTGCCAGAACATGAAAGTGGAATGGTGAAGTGGGAAGCAGCAGATGATGAAATGGGCCTTCAAACAGGTGCCTGGAGGAGTGAAACAGTCAAGAAATGGAGTTGTGATTCTGGACGACTGGAATGAAACCATTGGCGGAGAGATTAAGAAACACTCTGAGATGGCAGAGATAAGAGTCTACAATTTGAAATGAATTCAAAGGGGGAAACTGTCAAGCTTCTGGTGATGCACTTGGAAAAAGAATGGAAGAAGTGGAAATGTTTTACATTAGTAGGATGCCTCGAAATGAAAGAAGTTCTTCTTTTTCTCCTGCTAAACTAGGATGGAAAATTAATGAATTAATGAATATTAATGAAATTAATATTAATGAATATACAATAAATAACTATGGATTGATATTTTAGTATACGATTACAACGGAGAGATTCCTTTATGAATAGAGATTAACGATTTATTGTTTTTTAACTGTGGAAGGGTTGCTGGAATTCCTTGGAGATAAATTCATCATACCGGATTGAAGTCTTGATTTTCAATGATAATAACAATGGGAGAGCCCCCCTTTAGACTTTGTGTGGAAGGGGAAATGATTGAACTTGAGGTATGGGGTTGAAGATTGGGAAAATACCATCTAACAGAGCAAGGAGCAGCTGGATATTATCATGGAATACAGCTAGATACCATCCTGAACACTCAGAATATTTTAAACAATATTTATATATATAATTGACAGGCAAAGAATAAGAAGTTTTCTTTATTTCTTTTCTCTTTTCTCTCTTTTCATCTTTTTATTATCTTTATCTTCCTCTCTTCTTTTTCTTTTATCTACTTTGTTTTTCTTTATGTTTTGTTCTGTCCTTTGATGTCCCCTACTCTGGGTTAATGAGGGTGATGGCTGACTGGTGGAGGACCCTGCGTGAGAGGCAGGGAAGGGAAGATCTCTCAGAGAGAGAAAAAGACGCTCCCAGGTGAAAGCTAGGAGGATCTGCCCCCTTGTGTTTGAGCCGAGGGTTAGGAGGATCTACTTTTGTATTCTCCCCCTCCGCTTTCTCTTTTCCTTTCCTTTTTTCTTTCGTCGTTGTTTTTATTTGGATTTGGGTTTTTTCTTTATTGTATTGTAAGATGAAAAGTTTTAATTTTAAAAAATATGCAAAAAAGAAATTCCAGGCAAGTTGCTGCCATTCATTGTGGACAATACTGCCCTCTGACTCAGAATAAGGCAACTTCCTATGTGCCACTGAGCTCGCCTGCCTCTTCCTCCCCACTTCCAAATTAGATACTAATGTGTTACAACTAGGTCTGGGATCCCTGAGTTGGAGGATGATCAGGTTTGTTTAACGTGACAAGTCTGCATGTTCCTGCACCTACAAAACTTGGGACCGTTGTCAGATACGCTTCTGCCTACCACTTACATGTGAAGTTTCTCCTAGTGAGCAATGTTTTCCAAGGGACTATAGATGACCGTAGGTCTCTAAGCCAGCCACTTTTTGCATCTTGTAAGACATTTGCATCTAAAGAGTGGGCCACTGATTGCGTTTAAAAACAGCCACCACAAGTTTCCCAAATGTCTACCAGCACCCATCTAACTCTGGCTGACTGGGGCTGGTGAGAGTTGTCAGCCAAAACCTCTGGACCGCACAAGGTTAGCAAAGGCTGTGCTAGAACTTTAGGATTGTTAGGAGTGGATACAATTTAGTTGCATTTTCTCTGTTGCTGAGGGACCAGCTGGGAGGCAAGGAACTGGACAATTTAACATGCTTGGACAAGGCAAATCTCTATGCAAAATTTTTGTGAATATGATGGTGACAAAAGAACAGGCTCTTCTACTTGATAGTCTAATGAGAACTGATGTTAATTTTGGTCTATGCACTCAGTAGCTGATTTTTCTTTTAATGCCCTGAGTTTACTTAGCTTAACCTTCCATCTGATCTGCAGGCCTGGAGGCACCTGGGGATGATGTTTCCTTATTTCATGCATACTAAATCTTAACTGGGCTCCTTTTGCACTATATGCTATTTATATGTGAGATTAATCAAGTAAGGCTGGGGGCTCAGCCTATATGAGAGGCTTCACCAAAATAGACATTGCAACAACAATGCTACCCACGTCTTCCTGCTTCACAGAGCAGCCCTGACCATGTCTGCTCAGAATTAACTTGCGTTGAGTTTAATGGAGCCCACACCCAGGACGTGGCTGTAGGGTTAAAGCCTACCTTATCCAAAGTTTATTGCATCAGGCAATCTTTCAGAGGCCTAGTGGGTTTGCTAAACTTCAAAAATTTAAGAGTGGGGAGGGAAAAGCCAGCATCGACAAAATGCAAAGAATGAGTGTTTAAAATGCCAGCCTGGCATTTCCAGTGGAATTCCTTGGTTTTCACAGGTAGGGACAATGCGCTCTTGAAACCAGAGGGGGCTGCCTGTGCTGGGTGTCGGTTTGAAGCACCCTGCCTGATGTAGGAGATGCAACCTCGTTTTTATGCTGTGCTCTGCATGGTTTACAAAATAATAAAATACTAAACCCTTTCCTTTACTTTGTGTATACTGTTTGTTGTATATAAGGGATGTGTGCATATAAGGATTCAATTTTGTCATAACCACGCGGATTCAGTTGCTTTCCACTATAGGCCGCTATCTTGCTGTGTAGTTTTATGATGACAAAAAAGGGGGTATGGGAAGGAAAGGCGTTCCATTGACTTTGATTGTGTAATTTAACAATAGAGTTGATAAAATAAACATTAATTGCAGTCTTTTGTTGTGGGTTGATTATTGAAACGACTCCGTCTGGCTCTGGGATTGTGTTCCGAATCCGCTTTTCTAATCTCACAGCCTTCTTTCAAGGAGGTTCATGTTCTTTTCTGTGCTCAAAAGAATCAAAAGGAGTTTTGCTCTGAACTAACAAATGGAAACCCACCAAAGGGGCGGGGGGGGGGGGGAGAATGATGGCATCCAACACAGGAAACTGCCATATACCAAGTCAGACCATGGCTTAGCTCAGTCCTGTCTAAAGCAGGGTTGGGAATTGTTTGTGACTCCCCAGATGTTGCCAGAGTCCAAATATGGCCTCCACATTGCTCAGAGGACACTGCTTCCCATCTCTGGATGCAAATTTAACACCTTTGCAAGGAGCCCCACCTGGAGACACTGTCCTATTCCACTTTTTGGTGTGCCTTCATTTATAATCCAAAGTCTGGGGGAACTGTATGAGGACACTCCTGACAAATTCCTGACTTTAGGAAGTGGACCAAGCAAGGGTGGCATTAGAACAGTGTTTTTCAACCACTGTTCCGCGGCACACTAGTGTGCCACGAGATGTTGCCTGGTGTGCCGTGGGAAAAAATGAAAAATTCAAAAGATTTTTTTAAAAAAAAAAATCAAATTTTTGCCCACTAGGCGGGCGCAGGACTGTGTCCTGGGTATGGGGGGGGTTTGACCCCACCCTCGGCCAGCAGGGGCGCCAATTGGCGCTCCTCAGGGGGACACCCTCCACTTTTCTGATGTCCGGGCTGTGATTGGTCCAGACTCCAGCCTGGACCTATCACAGTAGGACATCATCTTCCGACTTCCTTCCCGCCCGAGCACAGTGTGTGCAGCAGCGGAGAGAAGAAGACGTCGCGACTCGAGTCACCAGGAGGACCGGAGAAGTTGTCATTTTATTTCTCTTCAGTCTCCACTGAATGCCTTGACTGGGTTAGGGACCCTTATAGCTCAGCATCAGTTGGTGGAAAGGACATGACTTTACAGGAGCAGGAGGAACTAACTGAACTGAGACAAAATCGTGGTTTCAAGCTAAGATTTGCTGATCTACCTTTGGACAGTTTTTGGTTGGATACTGCCAAGGAGTTCCCCCTTCTGGCAAACAAAGCTATTTTGACATTGCTCCCATTTTCCACTACATATCTGTGTGAGATGAGCTTTTCAAGCATGATTGCTATAAAAACTAAATACAGAGAGAGACTGAGAGCTGTTGACGAAGAGCTACGTGTGTGTCTTTCTTCGATTCCAGCCAGAATATCAGCTTTGTGTTCAGCCAAACAGGCCCAGGTTGCACACTGATTAAAGTATTTTATAATTTTTCATATTTCTGTTTACTTACTATTTCATGATAAAGTAATTATAAAATACTTTCTTTGTGTTTATTTTATTCCTGTTCAAGAGAATTACTTTATATATAGTCAATATAGGTACAGAGTTAAATTTTTTAACATTTTCTAATGGTGGTGTGCCTCGTGATTTTTTTCATGAAACAAGTGTGCCTTTGCCCAAAAAAGGTTGAAAAACACTGCATTAGAAGATGGCTCAGCAGCGTGCCATTCTTAATTCCACACCCCCCCCCTTGCTTGCATGGCAGTTTGATACCCAGTAGGTTGCCGATCGCATGGTCGGCGGTTCGAATCCCCGCGGCGGAGTGAGCTCCCGTCGTTCGGTCCCAACTCCTGCCCACCTAGCAGTTCGAAAGCACCCTTAAGTGCAAGTAGATAAATAGTTACCGCTTTATAGCGGGAAGGTAAACGGCGTTTCCGTGTGCTGCTCTGGTGCCGGTTCGCCAGAGCAGCTTCGTCACGCTGGCCACGTGATCCGGAAGTGTCTGCGGACAGCGCTGGCTCCCGGCCTCTAGAGTGAGATGAGCGCACAACCCTAGAGTCTGTCAAGACTGGCCCGTACGGGCAGGGGTACCTTTACCTTTACCTTTAAACAACAGTGCTAATGAGGTCCCAGCCTCCTGACACCTTACTTTTCACAGAGGTTAGACATTGCTTGATTGATTGCTTGTTTACATAGGCATCTTCCATACCGCTCCTGAAAATCCACATTTTCCAAATCCATTCTGTGCACTGTAGCCTTCTGTGGTTCCATACCAATGGGGGTTGTTTGCTGTTCTTGCATTCTGTTGTGCAAGGGCCATAGGTTCTGCCTATTTCAGATCCTGAGTCATGTTGCTCTTTGGAGAAAAACAGCACCCATGGACCCTTCCCAAACAGCCCATGAAACCCAATGATCTTTCTATTACTATTTCTGGAAGAAATGAGAACATGTGCACTCTGTTTGTAGGAGACAGACTGAGGAGTAAATCTGTAGATTAAGATTTAAACTACCTATCCTACATGTGTGGGAGAATTACAAAAGAAAACA